TACTAATCCCAGAATAATAATAATAACGAAATTGTTATCATTATTACACGAGATCCAATAGAATTGCTCGCCCTTCTCCTTCCTGCTGAGTTTGGAACCCTTAGTAACATGGAGAGCAGAGTGCCATGTGGGCTACAGAAATGGTCCACCTTCAGAGGGGAGTGGGCAGGGGTGGTAAGGGAGCAATTCCAAGGACCTAGCAAGCCTATGAGGAGCCCTGGTGGTGTGGTGGTTAAGCACTCAGCTGCTAACCAAAAGGTCAGCAGTTCAAGCCCACTAGCCACTCTGTGGAAGAAAGATGTGGCAGTCTGCTTCTGTAGAGATTACGGCCTTGAAAACCCTATGGGGCAGTTCTACTCTGTCCTACAGGTTCTCTATGAGTCAGAATTGACTCAATGTCAATGGGTTTGGTTTTAGTTTTGGAGCAAGCCCACGTGGTGCTCGACTGCTAACCTAAAGGTTGGGGGTTCGAACTCACCCAGCAGCACTGTGGAAGAAAGGCCTGGAGATCTGCTTCTGTAAAGGTTACACCCAAGAAAACCCTATGAAGTAGTTGTACTCTGTAACCCACAGAGACACCTTGAGTGGGAATCCACTCGACAGTAATGGGTTTTTTGGTTCTAGCAAGCCTGTGTCACAAAGGTAATGCTGCTGACATTAAGGCGGACCCCTGAGCAGCCTTACCCTGCTGTGGTTCAGAGAAATCTGGAAGAAGGAATCTGTTGTACAAGAGCACCCTGGTTAGGATCAGGGGTCAAAAACTCAAATGCCTACACTAATGTGTGATGAGGGTGGGAGTGACAGCAGGGAGGGTCACTGGCAACCTGCAGTATCTAAAGACATTCAGATTCAAGAACGTTTAAAAACACTGTGCTAACAGAAACAAAACCTTCAGGCAGGCCACTTTCAGTGGGCCGCTCTGTTCACAACCCTGGCTGGTGTGCTGGAAGGCTGTGGCACCAGCTCCAGCTCTGGCATTAAAATCTTCACTAATGGAAAGAAAAAAGTGTCAGCAAATTGAATTTCAAGGGCCAGCAGAGGGGTGAGTAGGTTCCCACACATTAAATAAACCCAAATGTTACAGGTGTAAGGTGTGCCGTACCAATCCAAGAGATAAGACTGCTGACTCTGCTAGGGATTAAAACCAGCCGTAACACCCCAGGCTGAGGGACAGTTTTGGAGATTAAGTCTCTGTCTCTAAGCCAGCTGATACAGAAATAGCTAATCCTTCTTTTCCATAACCTTTGCAGTAGGTTTTAACTGCAGAACCTGGAATTGTGGGTGACAATCTCGGAAGATAAGAAAGTGTGAGTCCAGTGGAACCAGGATCCTAACAGGCAAAAAGTGTTGAATTCTTACAAGAAGTTAGAGTTCTGTCTTGTAAAATTGGTGTCTTTATCCCATGACATTCCAAGAGAACAGATTTGTAGAGTTATCTGGATTTTAGCCCAGTGGTTCTCAAATTTAGAGCCATAAAACCACCTGGGGACTTGTTAAAATCAGAGTCCCGAGCCTCACCTCCTGAGAACTTGCTTCATTGGCTCTGCCTGAGGCCCTGGAATCTGCATTTTACCAGGCTCTAAGACAGGTGGTCCACAGGTCACACTTTGACAGGCCCCAATCAAGTGAAGAAGTTCCTGGGTGGTGCAAACAGTTAATGCACTCGACTGCTAACCAAAAAAATTGGAGGTTCAGGTCCACCCAGAGGCACCTCGGAAGAAAGGCCTGGTGATCTACTTCCGAAAAATCAACCATTGAAAACCCTCCGAAGGATACTTCTGCTCTGACACACATAGAGTTGCCTTGAGTTGGAATCAACTCCACAGCAACTGGTTTGATTTTAATCTAATGAATATTATTATATACACTCCATCTGGAATAGAAGTGGAATCAGAGTCTAGATTGTAGTACTGTCAAAATCTCTGAGCCCAGTTTAGAGAATCCAACTGGCCTAAGATACATTTTCATGTTTCTTTTGTTTGTTCTTTTATTCCATGCATTTTTACTGAGAATCCACCATTTAGCAGGTACTCTGCCAGTCCCTGCAGATAGATCTGTAGACAAGACAGATATGGTCCCTCTCCTAGTGGAACTTACATTCTAGTCGAGATTGTTGGATCCAAGCAAATAATTATTTTCTCTATACAGAGAAGCCTGCTAAGGTGGAAACAGAATCTCTAAGGGTTGGGAGGGAGAGTAAACATCCTTTAGTGTAACTACCATTTGATGCCTCTCCTCCACAATATTTCTGCCGAGCATTTATCCACCCAATGTGTACTTAAATGTGTATTTAAATACTTCCGGGGACAGGGAGCTCACTATTAGATGATTGAGGTCACCCAGTCCTCACGTATTAGATTTTCCTTCCCTGAAACTTCTAGCTCTCAGTTCTAGTTCTACTTTTCAAGACATGCAGAACAAGTTAATTCTTCTTCCCACAAGAGAGTCATTAAAATATTCAAAGACAGGTTTTGCTTTTGCTGTGTACATGTTCAACAGCAACAATAACAAAAATATTTTGTTTTAAACCTCTAAAATACATATATATATTCAAGAACAGTTTTCACCACTGTAAAGTCTTCTCTTCCCCGAGGTGAAGACCCTGCCTTATGGCCGAATTTTGAGTTCCCTCTCTATCCCAGTTACCCTTCTACTCTGCGCACATTTCACCTTGTGTCTTTTTTAAAATGCAAAGGCAGGATACAACCAGTCATTCATTCATTTCTTTATTAAACGCACGTGAGCCAGTCACTGTTCTAGGTGCTGGAGTCCAGGGAAGAGAATAATCACCTTCTTCACTTGGGATATTGTATTTCTCTGAATGTCACATTTTTTAACTATGTGGCATAAGCTATATGGCATAAGCTCAGTAGACCATAATTCAATAGGGGTCTTCGTGAACAAATCACCTTTTCTTCCCTTCATTTCTCTAAGTTCATTGCCGACTACCAGCAAATTCCTTTTTGGCCCTCTTTTATTTAGATGACATAGTGCCAACTCCCAAGCTTCTGATTTTTTCTTTTTTCCACTTCTAGTTACATTTTCTTTTTCTCTTTTGATCCCCATGACCACCCCCACCCCCACCCCCCCCCCCACCCCCACACGCACACACGCACACACGCACACACACTGCTTATACAAACATGCTTTCCTGGGTGTAGAGTGCTGAAGCTAATGGCCATTTGCAGCTTAGCAGATATGTCAATGTCACGGAGTCAGAAGGCAAGAGAGACCATCTAGCGTGACCCCTCACTTTCCAAATCACTTCCCCCCATGAGGACTCCTCCCTGAACCTTTACCTTCCCTGTGCCTCTTTCGCTGAGTTGCATGACCTTCTTAGACCACTGTATCCGCCTCGGCTGTTTCCTACAGTGACCTGTACCATGTGTTTCCTGCTAGAGCCACTGTGATAAACAACTCCTGGTAGACTTGGTCGATGCAGGGGCAACTCAAAGAGAAAGCGGAAATGCTCTCTCTAATAACTCCCACAAGCAAGGAAGGATCTAAGTGCATGGCTTGGTAGTGGACGCACCCTGTGATTGCTGATCCAGTCGCAGCCCCAGAGTCCCTCTGCTGGGCTCCAAGGGCCGCTGCACTTTACATTAGAAGGAATTAAAGGCTTGTTGAGTCATAAGGAATACCAGAGAATGTCAGCAAACCAGAATCGGGGATCACTAGTCTACAAATGACAAAACTGGCCCTAGAATTAGAATTTTGGACTTGAAAATAATCTCCGAGACCATCTAACTCCCACCTCGTTGTTTTTCTGAGGAAGAAACTGTAGGCCCGAGGGTGGGTGAGTTAGGGATCAAGGAGCAACAAGAACCCTAATGTCCTTACTGCAGGCCCCTCATCTCTCTCCCCTTTTGGGTCTGAGTAATTGCTCAACCTTATACCATCCCCATGTCACTAAGCCAGTATTCCAGTCCTGGGGGTTCCAGGCAACCAACCATAATGGAGAGTATATTCTAGAAACAAAGTCAGACAAACAAATGCCATCTGGGTGCTCAGGAATCCAGCCATTTGCTGGCTCCTTTCCTTTTAGAGCTAGTTACAGGAGAAGCGGCACCAGAGGGATAATATGTTCCTATTTTTCATTCTAATCCAGGACACCTGTCCCTTCTTTGGGGAATGTGTAATATTTGGGGCTTCTCAGCATGTGACCAGCCACCTGTTGCTCATGCCTTTCCGAATTGGCCTCTCAGGTCTGGGGCTGGCCAACTGGACCTCCACCCACAATAAAATGTGGGCATTAGCCATGTACTAAATTTGAGATCTAGCTTCTCTTAGGAATTAGCAGGTCAAGACAATACTATCAAGCAGAATACGCACCATGACACCTCCTCCCCTTAAGTGTGATAACTTTGGTGGCGTGTCATAAGTCTTTGAAGAGCAAGGAGGGCTGGACTTCACCACAGTCTGTCATTTTATTTCATCCCCACTGCCATCCATTCATCCAACAAATATTTACTGACCACCTGCTGTGTCACTCACTGCAGTCGTCCGCTCATCTATTCACCCCCCAAACATGTACAGAGCGTCTGCTAAGTGCAAAGTCCCACACTGGGTGCTTGGGAGAGACAGCAATGAATAGAGCTCAGTCCCAGCCCGGAGGAGCTCTTAATTTAGTTGGGATGATAAATCCACAAGCTACCGTGATTCAAAACCATATGTGTTGAGAGAGATACCAAGAACAATGGATCACAGAGGAGAGAGGAGTCACTCCCAGCTGACAGGTAAGAAAGTTTGCAAGTAGATATCGTGTGAGATCTGGACCTTGAGAAATAGGTAGGACTTATACAAGCAGAAGGGTGTGTGGGTGTTCAAAATCAAGGAAGTGTAGGCAGGTGTACCAGCAGAGAGGTGAGGAAGCCAAGGGGTGATCCTGCTGATGTGTCGGACATCCGTGCTGCCTGCTGAGTGAGTGGGGGTGAGGGGAGACTCAGAATGCTGGGAGGTTTGGATATGTCTGAGCCTTTGTTATTTCCCCGGCCCCTTAGGTTCTGAGGTTTGGCATCCCATCTGCAAACAGGCAGCCCGGGCAGAGAAGAAGTTAAAGGTAAGCAAGCTAATAGTGATACCAGACCAGCACTCCTGCGTGGATCCTTCTTATCATGGGTTGGCGGTAGGCAGCCCTGTGCCGTGGGGCACAGTCAACATTCCTTAGTGTGCACACTCCCACATGTGCCTGTACCCCTGGACTTCCTTAATGGTAACACCTGCCTCATGAGGCTTTCGAGGGGATTAATACGTTGGATGTGAAAGCACTTTGAAAACTGTAAAGCACTGTGTAAATGTAAGTTTTTCCAAAGCAAGGCTATAACCTTACCATTACATACCAAGATGGCGGCCTCTATTAGGAACTAATGTCATGGTTTTCCCCAGCCTGAGATCATTTAATAATAATAGTTAATATTAGCACAGTAATTGACAGTTTGCTAAGCAAACTGTGAGGCAGATGGGGTAAGGATTTTTATCTTCATTTTGCCTTTGGGAAAACCAAGTTCTAGAGAGAGTAGTCGTTTGCCCACAGCAGTGCAACTAGGCAGAAGCACAGCCGGTGCCCCAGGCACACACTGGCCCAGCTGGGGCCCTTGTGTCCCTCTGAATTACTGTGCTCTGACCAGTACCAGGAGGTGCTAGGAAACTGGGTGCTTGATCCAGGGACCACAGTGACGGGGTGGAGCCTGGCAACTGCAGGGAGGGTCCCAGATCCTGGGGCCATGATGCTGCAGGAGACGATACCTGGAGGGTTTGTTGTGGGAGAAGCAGCACTCCATGATCTCCAACATGCCTTTACACTCTGGCCCCAAGATAGCAACATGGCCCCTCAGGACTCAGGGCAACTCAAAACACATGCGCACAATTTCTGACCAACAAGTAACAACAAATGGTCTCCTTTGCTTTTCCATCTCATCCACTTAATGTAAATTTTGTGAAAGATCTGGTCTATTGGTGTATTATTTTTTTTTGAGCTGTGAATTTTTTTTTCCTATTTTTTCCAAGGCCTCTCCCATCTGGGGAGTGAGAAGACCTAATTGCCCTTTTCTTCCTCACCTTCCTTCTTCCTTTTGGCAGCATTTCCCAAACTCCAGTATCCTCCTACAGCCCTGATGTTTTTTTTGCCATATGTGTCTACCACCTATATCGTAATATACTTAGTAGTTTTCTTTAAATCAACTCATTACTTTTTATTTAAGCAAGCTTATTTTAAAATAAAAGTTTTTATCACCAAGTGGAAAACCATTATTACTTGCCATAAATAGAAGGTAACCATAAAATAAATTCAGTGAAAATGAAGCAATCTTATAAATTCCAGCTAGATAATGCTGCCTGCACTCTTTTTGTTAAAAAAAAAAAAAAGGTGGGGGGGAGGAGGCTTTCGACTGTTAAGTTGTTGAAGATGTATTGGCACCAAATTGAGGCTTCCTAGTTGATCTAATCAAGGGGATTGAAATAGAATTTTACATTTTACTTTCTCACTCTAAGACTCAGTGTTATAAAAGCTACCACCTAAGATCATCTCCCCAGAGCCACAGCTAGTTCACAATCCACCCTTTGGAAAGCACTACTGTATAGTCTCGTGAGAACTCTCTAAGTTGTAGGATGAGAGATCTGGAAGGGAATTTAGCAATTCTTGAGACCAGCCCCTTCATTTTACTGATCGGTAATTCAAGATCCCTCATATCACATAATTCCCTAGTGGTCCTTCACTCCCAATCGGTTTACTTTTAACCACAAGATTCTGCTGCTCTCTTAGATGCACTAAGGTTGACATCATGTTGTTCTGCTAAAGGAACTATTAATCCATCATTGCCATTGTTCAGCGAAAGTTTTTTTTTTTTAAGTTTATCTCTTACGTTGATGTCAATTTGCAATGGATACACCATAAAGAATCAGTATGGTGTGCCATTATGCGAAGTTTAATCCACCTTTACATGTTGAATAAACAACTGCTAAGGAATGAATATTAAACTCTTTTATTCATTTAAAGTAAATGCATTATTGACTGGGCTAGCCAAATGTGAAATTTTGTGAGCAACTTCCTACTTAAAAGTCCATTTACAAATATATAGAAAGCAAATCCATATTGTGTTTAACAGTCTAAAGTCCTGTTCATTTTGGATTTCATTCACACTCAGACGTTGACGCATTGGTTAAGAGCTCGGCTGCTAACCAAAAGTTTGGCGGTTCAAATCCACCAGCCACTCCTTGGAAATCCTATGAGGCAGTTCTGCTCTGTCCTATAGGGTTGCTACGAGTCAGAGTCAACTCAACGGCACTTAACAAAAACGACAGACGTTGATTAAAAAGGTAGAAAGCTTAGGGGAAGTACAGAAGTAGCCAGAGTATTTTAGCAATATTGCTAGTGTTCCCTATAGAGAGAGCCGCATCCTTGCACCCCTGTCTCCCCCTTCCTACCCAGCCTGAGGTGCAGCCCCTCACCCCTTCTGTCTTTGTCTATCCCCACAGCATAGGCGGACGTCTGAAACTTCCATCTCACCCCCTGGATCCAGCATTGGGTCACCCAACCGAGTCATCTGCGTACGTATCACTTTCTAGCCACCTAAGGGCCTTTCTTATTCTCAGACCTGTTATCTAAAGAGTTTTTAAGGATGACGGAGTAGGCAAAGACAGCTGTCAGGATTTCATCCAACTGATACTTAGGGCATGCTTGTCATGTGCCAGGTACTGTGCTAGGTTCTGAGGATACAAAGGGAAACAGAACAGATATAGACCCTGTCCTCATGGAACACACAGGCTAGTAACAGAATTACGCACCAGAGTTACAGGGATCATATGGAGTTCAGTGGGAGCACGAGAAAGAACATACAACTGACAGCAAGAGCCCTTGATGAGTTCTGAAGCCAATACAAGGTGCCTCCTTTTTCATTGCTTAACTGAGACAAGGGCAAGTTAAAAATGTAGGATCAGAGGACAATGCGTATTGGGTGGAATATTAATGTGGAGGTAGAGGTGTGTGATAGAGGCAGAAAGGAGGAGGCATGTGAACGTGGAAGCTTGGCCATAAAGGATTTGCAAACATAAAGAAGAGCTTTCTAGTCATGCGAGTAGTCCAAGGAGGGAGTAGACCACTTGGAGGTGTCAGGAGCTCCCATCTCTAGAGGCATTCAAATGAAGAAAGACTCATCACGATGTGGCAGAAGGGATGAGAGTTGAGTTAGATGACATCAGAAATACCTTAGATATGTAGTTTATTCACATATCCATCCATTCATTCATTCAGCAAACACGTACTGAGAATCTACTCTGCACTAAGTGCTGTGCTCAGTGCTCAGAAAATGGTGGTGAGCATCATAGACCTGATGCTTGTCCTCATAACATTAAACAAATCATTACATGAATAATCGTTGCAGTTATGATAAGTGCAAGGAAGAGAAAGCACAGGGTGCCCTGAGAATTTATAACAAAGGGACCAGTTGAGAGAGGGTATATCTGAGGCAGAAACATTTAAGCTCTGACTTGAGGGATAAACAGAAGTAAGTTAACAGAGGTGGGGGAAAACAGGGAAGACTGAAATGAGCAGAGGAGAGGACTGACGGTAAGCAAACTCAGTCTGATTGACTCTGGACTGTTCCAGCCTTCCACAATTTGAAAGAGTTAAGAAGACCAGCTATGTGGGGGAACTAGTCTATAGCATTCCGTGGGTGGTACAATGGTTAACCTGCTCTGCTGCTAATTGAAAGCCTAGAGGTTTGAGTCTGGTGATCTACTTCTAAAAAAACCAGCCATTGAGAACCCTATGGAGCATGATTCTACTCTGACACACACATGGGGTGGCCATGAATCGGAATCAATTCGACAGCAATTGGTACTGGTATTGGTCTGCTAATCTATAGCAGGAAACCCACACCTAATAAGAGGCTGTAGATATGATTTCTAAACCAGCTAGTCCTGGGCAGGCCTAACCACCATTACAAGATCATTACCTTACTCGAAATCCACACCAACTTTCCTCTTCGATCCCTGGATAATGCCCATTGATGGGACTATTTCATTTCCTTTCCTCTTCTGCTCAAATGAGAAAAAGACATGTTATCATTGACTGCAGCTTCAATATGGGTCAATACTGCCATGTGGCTGCCACAAAAAGGCAAACTACTTTGATCACAAGCAGTACAAATTAAAGATTCCTGTCCAGAACAAGAGAGATGATAGTCCCCCTGGTATTACGAATGGGGCCAGACCACAGCAGGATTAATGGGCTTAGTTTCAGGATGTACCCTGTGAGGTTATTGACTGACGTGAGCTTATCTCCGGAAGAGAGTTACCAGAATATGAGAGCTCAAGAAGCTGCTACATTCTAATGCCATCAATCACTAGCTTGTCCCCTCTGTGCTGCTGAGAAGCCTTGCTGACCTTCATGAAATAAGTAAGTCCCTGATGATGTTCACCCTGGAGGCCTGGACAAAGCTACATAGAGTTGCCCCTGTCAGAAGCAGCTCCACCACAAACGAACAACAGCAGTTGGGGACTCCTGCCCTTGTGACCTCCAACTGGGGTCTGATACACTTTGATCAGTTGCGCCTTGGGTCCTAGCATAGGCATATGTTTCCACTTCTCCAATTTCCTGCTCTCATCTCTTACAGCGCCTTACTTCCAGCTGCTCTGGGGAATGACCATACATGTCTTATGAGCCATGTTGTAAGTCAGACCATTCCAAGTATGTCCTCCAAATATGGTGAAGAATCCATCCGATCTCTTTTGTAATAACAGGCAGGAAGATAGAAAATAGGTTGTATTTTCATAAATAGAGGGGTTTGATTTTAAAATTGAACCTACAGGGGGCAGAGAACTTTCAAACTTTGTTGCAACCTACTAAAACTGCTAGAATCATCTTAAGGGAGTTTGTCTTCGACCAGTCCCACGTGTTGTCTGCCTTCTTTCATAGCTAATTATGTTAGGATGCCTCTGTGTAGTCACTGTGTCTCCAGACCTAAGGTTCATTTATAGCCCTAGAAAGAGGCTATAGGTAGAAATATAAATTTACTGGTTTTGAGGTTTGGAGTAAAGTGCCAAGATGAATAATACGAATTGAGTTGCAGTTTGCAAGATGCCAGGAGTTCTCAACATCAAGATCCAACATCCCAGCACAAAAGGCAGAAGTTACTTCAGCAAGTGAACTCTCCTGATGAGGCTCCCTTTACCCCACACCCCAAAATTGATGTAGGTGTCTATTCCAGGTAGGCTCTGGCAGACGTCAGCTAGCAAACTTCAACGGACTTAACTGAGGAGATTTCATGAGGGGGCCACTTACCAGGTGTGGGCAGATTTAAGGGAACCCAAAGAGATAGTGAGGCACTCAGGGACTACAAAAGTTGTCCCACCCCAAGGCCTAAAGGGACAAGGGAAGGGAACAGTGTGATGAGAGATGGCTGGATCTGGAGCTGATGAAGAGCAGCCACTGGACAGCAGAGAAGCATGGTGACTGCCAAGCCCAGGGCCAGGCAGAGAGGGAGCTGATGGAATAAATACACCAACCTCCAGTCTCTGTTGGTGCCTCCCATTGGCCAAACCCAACTGAAAGCCAAAGAGCAAGAAATCCTGGTGATGCAGCCCATGGAGGATTTCGTGGCACAGTCAAGGCAAGGAAGGGTGGATAGTGGATCTAGGGATAATAAATAGTGGAAGAGACTAGGGACGTTATTAAAATACTGAAGCTTATAAAGTGTTTGTGAACATTGTTCTAGTCAGTCTTGGCCCTGGGACTTTATTGGCCCCCATGGCATTAGGAGCATGTTATGGGGACAAGTAGCCTCTGTCTTAGTTTACTTCATCCCAGGATCCTGCAAACCACAGTAGTTGCAGGGGGACAGATCCCAGCTGACCATAGCAGACACTGGGTCACAGAGGGAAGAGCTGGAGGACATGAACATGGAAAGGACGTGCATTCAGGAGCCACATTACATGGACTGTCACATGCAAGAGGAAGCTATCTGTTAATACATGCAATTCCAGGAGGCTGAGCTCAGGTGAAGTGAAATAGTAGTTAGGAGCTCGTTTCAGTCCATGTAAGGAGCAGCTTTCTGGGTATAGCCCTCTGACAGTGTAAGACAGCAAGCTCCCCATCACAGGAAGTCAGGAGAGGCCAGGGGAGCGGGCAGACTCTCAGGTTAGATGGCCCGGGTTCAATTTCTGGTTCTGCCAGTTATTAGTTGAATTAACTAATTAACTTGGGCAAGTTAATTGATTTCTCTGTGCCTCTGTATCCTAATTCAAAAATAAGGATGATATCAGTACCTATTATTAGAATTGTGAGGCATACAGATTAACTGGGTTAATCCATATAAGGGATTTAGGGCAGAGTCTGGCTCATAATAAGTGCTGACCAAATATTAGCTAGTGTTTTACTGTCGTGATTATTTTGTCTTTACCGCCTTCATCACTTTCTTCAAGGATGTTATGAACGGAGAGTCCTCACTGTGTGAGGTTGGAAGGCTGTGTAGTTTAGACTCAGTTCAAACCTGCTAGCTAAAGGATGCAAATTGGTGAGCCTTTTAAACTTCAGTTTCCTCATCTGGAATAATATTGATATTTCACAAAGATGTAGTGACAGTTAAAGGAGATAATTCCTGTAAAGCACAGCACCTAACACATAGTACGTGCTCAATAAACATTAGTCCTGTTGGAACAGATGACCTCTACAACCTTTCTTAGTCTAACATTCTGTGATTCTTTGGTCCTAATATTTTGTTTTTAGTTGTTTTTGTTTCCTCTTTCCTTTCCCTCTTACCTTTCTACTTCTTTCCTGTCCATCTCCCTCTTCCCCAGGCTAAAGTGGATAATGAGATCCTTAATTACAAAGACCTGGCAGCTCTCCCCAAGGTTAAGTCCATCTACGAGGTACAACGCCCCGACCTCATTTCCTACGAGCCTCATTCCAGATACACGTCTGACGAGATGCTGGAGAGATGTGGCTATGGAGAGGTATCGAATCTCACCCCTCTCTGGGACTGCTGAAGGAGAGGAGGTCCCGCTGAGGTCCCCAGCCCAGTCCATCACAGATGGTTTGGCCTCCACTGCGTTGGCCCCAGATTCTTTTAAACTAGAACTTATAGTAAACATTTAAAACTCAAGATATTTCATCTAAAAATCTGGCTTTCTGGCTTTTCTTGAAAAATTAGGGTTGGCAACACTGAAGCTGCATTTACACCATCTGGAGATGGGTAGCAGCCATGGACACGGGCACTCCAGTTCTCCCCAGTCCCCACTACTCCCTATTGTCTCCCAACATTGAAGTCAAGAGAACTTGAGCAGTTGTTTTTCTTATAGGAGAGAAATTTTTCTTATGCCCAGCCCATGGCTCTCATTGACATCCCCAGGCTCTATGGCATTGAGGTTTATCATCCCTAGCAAGGCATGGTTTTTGCATCTGGCTTTAACCCTCTGTGCTCAGAGCAAGAGTCACTTTTATGAAGATCTGCATCCAATGGCTTTTGAAATAATTAAATGGTTAGCCCCTGGGTGGTGCAAATGGTTAATGCACTTGACTGCTAACCAAAAGATTGGAGGTTCAGATTCACCCAGTGGCACCTCAGAAGAAAGGCCTGGTGATCTACTTCTAAAAAATTATCCACTGAAAACCATATGGAGCACAATTGTACTCTGACACACATGGGGTTGCCGTGAGTCAGAGCTGACTCCACAGCAACTGGGGAAAAAAAAGACAAGAGAAAGTGTTCTCTGGAGAAGGGAGGGTGACCATTATACTAGATAGATGTCCTGCCAGCTCTCTAGCTCCACCCCAGGTCCTCTGAGATGGAGCAGTTTGGAGCAGAAGGAGCCCTGGCCTGGTGGGCAAGAGACGGGGTTCTCATCCCAGCTCCACCACTAACTAGCTTTGGGACCTTGGACAAGTCCCCTTCCTCTCTTAAGGGATTGGGGTTCCATTTGATTGGAAAGCAGCCATCCTGCCATGTGTGAGTCAAATAAAGCTTAATGCTGAGGCTGTCTGGGTGCTGGCCCTCGAAATGGACCAGGAAAAAGGGAGCAAGTGTTTGGGAGAAGCTGATTGTCCTGAAGCCAGAGATGACAATCTGGGGCTCACAGGCCATAGCCAGCCTCCAGATTTGTTTCATTTCCCTCACAAGGTACCTTTTAAAAGTGTAAACTAGTTACCAACATTTAAGCATAGGGAGCTTTTACATGAGGTTCTAAATTTCTGACTTTTCTTGGAAAACAAAGGAGCTGTGTGAAGAGTGGGTAGGCACTTTGGCATGGCCTTGACCTGCTGGAGCTGAGAAAAAGCCGACCCCTTTGGATGGGACCTTCACTTCCCAGCTTACCTCCCTCCTGGCCCTTGTGTGGCCCCTGCATTTGGGTCCCCTGCCCTGAGCACTGTCCTCATGAACCACAGAAGGGTCACGAACTGATAGAGAGACAGGGAAGGGCCATGAAAATAACTCTGAGCTTGTGGTGGCGAAGCTGGTGTCCAAGTCAAGAGCCTACCAGCTCCTCCCTGAAAGACTGCATGGTCCAGCTCCCTCCCTGGGCCTCAGTTTCCCCACTTGTAAAAGAAGGACATGATCTCAGATTTCCCACCAGCAGTCTGGTATTCTGAAATTCTGGGTGCAGCTGCTATCTGAAGAAGATGCCCTGCCTGGGGCAGCTGCAAGCCCTCTCTGCTGAACCATCTAACAAGACTCTGCCTGACTCTCTTCCTCCTCTCTCTCTCCTTTGTGTTCCTTCCACGGCTACCTTCAAACCTTCACTTCTAAGTCACTGGGAACGTTATCTCCCTACTCCCAGGTAATTACACTGATTCGGGGAGAACTTTTATATGACTGTGTCCCTCTATGCTGACTGCAGGCCCCTGACCCCCTTCCTAGCCCCTCAAGGGTCCTGAACCCTTGCTCAAAGTGCTGTCCACTACCCAGGCAGAGGCACAGAGACAGGGGCATGGCCCAGAGGAAGTGGTGATGGCATGAAGGATGGAAATGGCTGGGGGAGAAACTGACATGCCCTTTCTATCCAGAGGTGACCTCCCTGATCCCTCTCTGATCCCTGGCCATGATTCCAGGGTCTCACCCCAGGGTCCATTCAGGGGCCTGGGAGTGATGGGCGAAGGCTCTGAAAATTCTCTAGTGACCTTCTCGCACTGTGCTTGGAACTCTGGGTGCAGGTCTCGGTATTCAGAGGGACAGAACCCTGCCTCACCTCCTAGAATCCCCAATTCCATGTGGCTCCCTCACCTCCTTGCCTGATACTTGGACCACAGGCCACCTAACGTACTGCCTTACTCACGCCCCACTTCTTCCCCCAGGACATCTATGAGAACCTGGACCTCCGGCAGAGACGGGCCTCCAGCCCGGGATACATTGACTCCCCCACCTACAGCCGGCAGGGCATGTCCCCCACCTTCTCCCGCTCGCCTCACCACTACTACCGCTGTGGTAAGGAAGGGGGTCCCCCAAAGGGAGACGGGGAGCAGGGGGGATAAAGCAGTGGCTTGGTCCCTGCGCTGCAGAGACAGTACAGGGCTACACTGAGATGTGGATCCCTGGAGGGCTATGGCCACCCAGGTGAGCGGCTGGGCCTCACTGAGCCCCTGAAGAAGCACCCTGGTGGGAGGATCCATGGGGAGGGGAATGGGTGCGTGGTACTGAGAAGTGACATGAAGGTGGGTGGTGAGCTCCCAGGAGCTGGGAGGAGCCAACAGCACAGTGCCCCAGCTGGATGAAGACTCCTCTAACCTCATCCCTGACCTGTCACATCAGAGGGTGGAACCAGGAGACCAGCAACAGGGGTGTGGCCTGGGCCCACCCTGACCCCAACCCAGTCATTGGGATGGAGGGAAAGAGCAATTAAGGGAGGGACCTGGATGGGGAGGGGTGGGCAGCTAGGAGGGATGGAGATGCCTTTCTGAAGCTCGGAAAAGTTGATTCTGACCACCCATGAACTCTGACTTTGGGGTCAAGCAAGGAAGCTGGGTCAAGCCTGTTCCTGCAGACGTGCATGAGAGCACATGCTTCTCCTGACTCGGACCTGAGCACGCTGGGCACCCCAGCCCATCCCCACCATCCTTGCTGTCATCACCCCACTGCTTCCTGAGCCGCCACTGCGTTAATGCCTGTTTTCTCTATGCCTCTGTTCTCTCTGGGGACCACTGCCTGCGTGCTCCAGGGCCCGAGAGTGGCCGGAGCTCTCCATACCATAGCCAGTTAGATGTGAGGTCCTCCACTCCGACCTCTTACCAGGCTCCCAAGCACTTTCACATCCCAGGTAGGCGCTGCCAGCCCCAAATGCCCAGCATGGGTGCATGCTCCGTGGGATCACCAGGCACCAGCACCAAGGAGAAGTCAGTTTCTGGGGGACCCTCCCTAACCAGTTGCCCTCACTAACCCCACCCTGAAGCCCACACGGCCACAGGCTTAGTCAACCCGTGTGACAGAGCCAACCTTGATCAAGACCACAAGGGGCCTGATTGGGTCTTCAGAGAATCAGCCCAGGGAGGAAGGCACAGGGAGTGAGTGGGAAATGCCTCTGATGTCCGAGGGTCGTGGTAGACAAGGCTATAACACATAGTGCTAAATGCCACAGGCTTTTCCATCAAAATTCTTGGGATTGAATCTTGATTCCACTGCTTACAAGCTGTGTGACCTGTGGCTGGTTACTTAGCTTCTCTGAGCCTCTGTTGCTCCATCTGTACAGCCAGGCACTGTTCTGGGCCCTGAGGCTGCAGCTGGGCTCAATCCACCCCAGTTCCTGCCCTCGTGGTATTTATGTCCCAGTGTGGTGATAGAGACAATAAGTGAATAAGCCAATAAGTAAATGGGTAATTTCAGGTAACAATAGGTGTTGTACACATAATAAAATAGGCTGACATGAGGAGGCAACTGGGGGGGAGGGGAAGCTAGGTTAGGTGGGGTGGTCAGGCAGGGGTTCTCAGGAAGTGACATTGAAGCCAAAAGATGAGAAGGAGCCAGCCTGCGAAGATCGCAGGGAACAGCAGAGGGAACAGCCAGAATAAAGGCCCCAAAACACTGAGGCAGGCAGAGCCAGCGTGGCTGGAGGTAGTGCCCTGTCCCCTCCCTGCCCAGACTTACTTAACTAGACAGTGACAGAAGATAAGAGGAAGGCAGGGGCTAGATTACCTTGAAAGGAGCCCTGGTGGTGCAGTGGTTAAGTGCTTGGCTGCTAACCAAAATGTTGGCGGTTCAAACCTACAGCTGCTCTATGGGAGAAAGATGTGACATTCAGCTTCTGTAAAGATTATAGCCTTGGAAACCGTACGGGGCAGTTCTACTCTGTCCTATAGGGTCGCTATGAGTCGGAATAGACTCAACAGCTATGGGTTTAGATTACCTTGTAGGTGTGATTTCGACAAGGTCAGACCCTGAATTACAGCACAACCAGGCCTAAACCCCAGTCTCCTAGCTCGGAGCTCAGTTTTTAACCCCCCACCCAGCTTTTCCTGGGAACTTGTCCTGCTGTTTCAACTATACCTCTCTCAACTGCCCCAGAAGGGTCCCATCCAGACTGTTTTTGAGGGAGTGGGAGGGAGATACTGCTGAAACTTGGCTACAGCATCCTGAGGACTTTCACATGGAATGAGGCGTGACTGCTGGGTGGAGGCAGTGGACACCTGCCCTGCATGGGGCCCTGCTGAGCATGTGCCCACCTGTGCCTGCATGCCACCATTCAAGCCCTAAGCCCTTCCCTCTGCACCATTTGAATCTATCCATTCCTCTCCCCCTCCCTTACTTGGAACCTGTTGGGATGAGGTTGGAAGTTCAACTTTGGAAGAGGAAGTCCACCAAAGGAAAGATGGTGGAACCTTAAAAAAAGTTGTTGATCATCTCTCTCTCCTGAGATCAACTGACCAACTGCTGTCTCCTTTTCTCGTTGTCTCTCTCTCTGTCCTCCCCACTGTCCCTTCCTGGTCTGTCTGGCAGCTGGAGAAAGTAACATCTACCGGAAACCCCCCATCTACAAACGGCATGGTATGGTCCGAGGCAGGCAGGGCTTGACCAGGCAAGGGGAGCGGGAGGTTAAAGGAGGTTATGGTCACCAGGAAGGACACACTGAAAGGCTGCAATTCGGGCCTTCCTTGCTAGCTGCCCCCCAGTCACTCAAGGTGACACTGGGGAGGAGTGTGGTGTCATTTCAAAGGAGCAAGGAAGGTTTGTGTCCCCTAAATCCCTTCCCACCTCCTCCCCAACTGCCCCCTTTACCTGCTGTCTAGTGTCCTAAATTCCATGGTCAAAGCAATCCTTGCAAAATACGCATACCCCTGGGAAAGTCACACTCCAAGGCATTGATACCCAAGCTTCGTGTTCACTAGAATCACCTGGGATGCATACAGATTCCACAACCCCACCATTGACTCACTGAATCAGAATTTTGTATCTGTAACAGCTTTTCCACAAGGAGCCTTGGTGGCGCAGTGGTTAAATACTTGGCTGTCAAACAAAAGTCAGCAGTTCCACTCACCAGTCGCTTCCCGGGAAAAAGATGTGGCAGTCAGCTTCCGTAAAGATTTACAGCCTTGGAAACCCTAGGGCAGTTTTATTCTGTCCTATAGGGTCACTATGAGTCGGAATCAACTCGATGGCAACAGGGTTAACAGTTTTTCCAGGTGATTCCGATGCACAGCCCAGCTTGGGAACCCCTGCTGTAAGCTCTTCTCAGTCACGGTCTCTGAGAGTGATGGAGGCTTAGAGCTGGGGTGGGGGCAGGGAGTGAGGAGGTATAGATAAGAAAGGAACAGGGAGCCCTAGGGTGCCTTCTTTAATTCACACGTGCACCTGAGAGACATTAAAAAGGGAGATGCCCTGTCCCCTCCCCTGCCCAGATTTACTTAACTAGGAATACTGGGGATGCAGCCCAAGAATCTGCACTGTAACTAGCTTCATACATGATTCTTTGTGTGTGTGTGTGTGTGTGTGTGTGTGTGTGTGCTTTAGATGAAGGTTTACAGAGCAAATGAGTTTCTCATTACATCCATGATTCTTAACTGCACTCAGTATGAGAACACCCAGTCATTCATCACTGTGACCTCCTGTTCATTCTTCCAGAAAACACCTATTGAGCCTACACTGAATAAGTACATCCCTTCTTTTGAGGATGGAGTCCCTGGGTGGGGAAAATGGTTAGCATTTGGCTACTAGCCAAAAGATTAGAGGTTTGAGTCCACCCAAAGGCATCTCAGAAAAAAGACCTGGCAATCTACTTCCAAAAAATCAGCCATTGAAAACCCTGTGGAGCACAGTTGTACTCTGGCACACCTGGGGTTGCCATGAGTTGGAGTTGACTCAACAGCATCTGGGTTTTTGGGTTTCCTTTGATGAGTTTAGAATTTAGAGCAGCTGTATCACCTTCACTTGCTCAGGGATCTGGCTAGGATAACGGAGAGGGAAGCAGAGTTAGACAAGCATATCGGCGGGTGGGAGGGATCTGAACTAAGCAGGTGAAGGCAACAGTGCAAGTATAAATAGTGGCTCTGGGTACTTGAGACCCTACAATTTAGACAAATATTGCTAGTGTTGGAGGGGCCTAGGCTGTGGGGTCAAGGGTGAGTCTGTGAGCCCGTGCACATGTACACGTGGCTGTGGAGGACACACAGTATGCCCCCCAAGTGACCACAGAAAGGCACTAACCCCAGGAGAGGTAGTTTGACCTTATATCCAAAGATGGCACCAGGTCCCAAGCTTCTCGGGACTGCATGGGATTTTCCAGGCGGGCTCTGAGGGGCGGCTCCAAGTAGACTGGGGAGGAGCCTAAGGTGAGGGTGGATTGCATGCATAGCAGGGCTATCAAAGAGCTAAATCTCATCAACCAGGGGTTGGAGGGGCTGCCCAGGTCCCAAATCCAAGAGGAGAATTCCAAACGGTTGGAAGCCGATGCCACTGGAGGAGGCATCCAGCCTAGGGTGGCTGAGGGCGGGTCTCAGGACCCTGTGCGGCTCTGGCTTCACTCCTAGAAACGATAATGGTGCTGCACTCATTTCCCCTGGCCCTCTCTTTGCCCTAGCCAGCCTTCACAAATCTTTGAGCTACTCTAATGCCGTTGTCTTGTAGGTATCTGTGCCTGGGATGGGTTTGATGGTCACTCCCACGGCGTGGACTTCAGGTGGAAACCTGAAGCTGGACCTGAGCCAACAGATCAATTGTGATGCTTTACAGATGGGGGAACTGAGGCAGAGAAGGGTGGGATTCGCCCAGTGTTACAGCTGAGTTAAGTGGCAGAGCTGGACCAGAGCCCAGCTTTGCTGACTCCATATCCAGTGCTCCTTCCTTCAGGTCAGGTAGTGGCCCCCAAACCAGGGTGTGGCATTTCAGTGTAAGGAGAAGGGTAACCTGACTCAGCACGCATCCCGGCCCTGCCTGGTGATTCCCACCCAAGCTGTGGTTCGAATCCCCAACAAGGCAGGCTTTTAGAGGGTTAGGAAGATAAGAGCAGAGCCTCACCTGGGATCTGTCCAGTCTTACTATGTGAGACCATGGCCTTGGTATTCATACAGGAGCATACCTGGAAGTCCATGGAATGTGGTAGAAGGAGTCCTGAGCTTGGGATCTGGTCCACTTCTTGCACAAACTTGCTGTGTGGTCTTGGGCAAGCCCCATCCCCTCTCTGGGATTCAGATTCTTAACTGTAAAATGAGGGGCTGGCTCCAGTGCCTTTCCAGCTCCATTTCTCCATGTCCCAGACTCTCCTAGCAGAGGTCCCTGACAGCACAGTGTCCTCACTCCCCTGGGCTAGAGCCTGGCTGCAGCAGGGGAAAAGGTGCACAGTCCTAGCCAGGACATTGCCTTCCTGAAGCTCTCTCCTTGGGTCCTTTGCAGGTGATTTGTCCACAACAGCCAAGAGCAAGACAAGTGAAGACATCAGCCAGGCATCCAAGTATAGTCCAGCCTACTCACCAGACCCCTACTATGCTGCAGAGTCTGAGTACTGGACCTACCATGGGTCCCCCAAAGGTACCATACCCCACAGGGAAGCCAGGGCCAGACACCACTGCCTGTGCCAGGGACACACAAGGTCAGGAAAGATAGCTGCCCATTCCTTCACACAATCATTCATTTATTCATTCAACACGCATGTACTGAGGACCAGCCGTGGGCCCTGGAGTTACACTGGTGAGAGAAACAGACCTGGTCCCTGCCTTTGTGGAGGAGACATAGGTCCCAACTGTGAGAGGGAGGTGATGGCAGCGGTATACTGTTTAGCCTGGGACAGCATGGAGGCTTCTCAGCTGCCGTAGGAAGGGTAAGAGGAGGCAAGTCAGCAAAGAGAGTGTGGAAATGCATACTCAGAGATCCAAGATGGGAAGGCGGGTTCCACTAGAAGAAAGGAAAGGCGATCAGCTTGGCTAGAGCTCAGAGAGAGGGGAAAGCAAGGGAGGGAATAAGGGGCCAGATCCTGCAGGACCTTGTGGTTTGGGGCTAGGACTTTAGTCTTTATCTTAAACAGTAGGAAGCCATTGAAATTGGTGGTACAATAGATTTGTGCTTTGGAGAGACCACTTTTTCTGTAGGGTGGAAAATGGTGGGGAGGATGGTGAGGAGAGGATACGGGAGGATAGAATGCGCTCCTCGGCATCCTGGTGAGGCAGAGAGTCTCAGTGGGCCCCCAGGGTACCACCCACCCAATCAAACAACTCAAGCTGTTTCTTTCAAGTCTGGGGAGGAATTTTCATCAAGATCCAATTGATCCAACACCTTTACTAATTGAATGTCCATTCTGAACAAAGCTTCATGGAAGCTACAGAGATGACCCCTCTCTTTACCCTCAAAGAGTTCTCCATTTAGAAAAAGAGGTAACACACAAACACAACTATAAGCCAAAGTGGACAATGCTCAGGACGCATGAGAGGTAATAAGTGAGAGAGCACTCTGAGCAGGGGGTGAGGAGTATCTTCATGGGGACTGTTTCAACTGCAGAAGAGAACAACAACAGCTCTACATGGCTTAAGCTGAAAAGGAATGTTCTAGCTCATGTCCTGAATGGGTTGGGGGTATATTGACTTGAGGCCCACTTGGATCTAGGGGGTGAATGAATGTCATCAGGATTTGGACTGCTTTCCCCAGGGGTGGCCCCATTCTCATCATGGCAAGATAACTCCAGCAGGTCCAGGCTTACACCCCGTTGTTGTTGTTGTTACATGCTTTCAAATTGATTCTGACTCATAGCGACCCCCTGTACAACATAACAAAACACTGCCCAGTCCTGCAGCATCCTCACAATCATTGCTATGTTTTAGCCCATTGTTGCAGCCACTGTGTCAGTCATCTCACTGAGTGTCTTCCTCTGTTTTGCTGACCCTCTGCTTTATCAAGCATGATGTCCTTCTCCAGGAATTGGTCCCTCCTGAAAACACGTCTGAAGTAAGTGAGATGAAGTCTCACCATCTTTGCTTCTGAGGAGCATTCTGGCTGCTCCTTAGAAGATTTCAAAAGGCACCTCCGGAAGACAAAGTAAAATATTATAGTGAAATGCGCAAGGACCTGGAGTTAGAAGACCAAAAGGGAAGAACACTCTCAGCATTTCTCAAGCTGAAAGAACTGAGGAAAAAAAATTCAAGCCTCAAGTTGCAATATTGAGAGATTCGATGGGCAAAAATGTTAAACGATGCAAAAAGCATCAAAAGAAGATGGAAGGAATACACAGTCACTGTACTAGAAAGAATTGGCTGACATTCAACCATTTCAGGAGGTAACATATGATCAAGAACCAATGGTACTGCAGGAAGAAATCTAAGATACACTGAAGGTATTGGCGAAAAATAAGGCTCAGGAATTAACGGAATACCAATTGAGATGTTTCAACAAATAGATACAACGCTGGAAACACACACTTGTCTATGCCAAGAAATTTGGAAGACAGCTACCTGGCCAACCTACTGGAAGAAATCTATATACACACCCATTCCACAGAAAGGCAATCCAAGGCTTACACCCTACCCAGAGCAACAAGAGAACTTCTTTCTCCCACTGGTTGCAGGAAAAGTCCCAGTGCAGAAGCTCATTGGCTGTTTGGGCAATCAGCTTCACTGCACCTCACAGCCTGAGAAGGGGAAGGGATGCTGGGCAGCTCAGTACAAGTATGTCCATCCACTATGGACGGGCACTTGGCCAAAGGGCACTTGTGTAGTATCATTCAGCTAGAAAGTGGTAGAGTCGAAAAGAAAGCTTTAGAGCCCTGTGGTTAATCCCTAGGCTCTAGTGCCCCTCTCTGCCCTCTCCCCAGGACAGGCTGGGTGGGGGGTAGGTGCCGGAGCTGATCCTCTCTGTCTTTTGGCAGTGCCCCGAGCCAGGAGGTTCTCATCTGGAGGAGAGGAGGAGGATTTTGACCACAGCATGCACAAGGTGAGCAGGTCACAACACTGAAGAGGTGCCAGAAGGGTCAGTTACTGAGAGCATCTTCATTTTCAAGTGAGAGAAACCAAATTCAAGCTGGCTGAAGGAGGAAAAGGAAATACATAGCTTCCCATAACTAAAAAGCCAAAGGGTAACTTCAGGTATAACTAGATCTAGCTGCTTAAATTTAAAAAAAAAAAAAAGTCATAGGGAGATTGGCTCTCTCTTCTCTTGTGCTGGCTTTTTTCTGTTTGGCTTCATGCTCAGGCAGATTTTTCTCATGCAGTGGTAAGATGGGTGCCAGCAACCCTCGTCCATTGCTGGTGAGAATGTAAAATGGTGCAGCCACTGTAGAAAACAGTTCGGCAGTTCCTCAAAAAGTTAAACATAGAATTACCGTATGACCCAGCAATTCCACTCTTAGGCATATACCCAAAAGACTTGAAAGCAGAGACTCAAGCAGATTCTGGTATGCCAATGTTCGTTGCAGTACTATTCACAATGGCCAAAAGGTAGAAACAAACCAAATGTCCATCAACAGATGAATGGATAAACAAAATGTGGCATATACATACAATGGACTATTATTCAGCCATTGAAAAGAGTGAAGGACTGATACATACTACAACACGGGTAAACCTTGAACACATCATGCTAAGTGAAAGAAGTTAGACACAAAAGGTCACATATTACATGATTCTATTTGTATGAAATATCCAGAATAGGCAAATCCATAGAGACAGAATGTAGATTCATGGTTCCCAGGGGGGATAAGGGGACGGGAAAATGAGAAGTAGCTCCTTAATGTATACAGGGTTTAATTTTGTGGTAATGAAAGTGTTTTAGAACTAGACAGAGGTGGTGTTTGCACAATATCATGACTGTATTAAATGCTACTGAACTGTTCGCTTTCAAATAGTTAGTTTCATGTTATGTGAATTTCACCTCAATAAAAAAATTAAATTAAAATAAAAAGATGAGTGCCAGCAACTCCAACAAGAAAGAGTTTTAGGGAGGCTCTCATTGGCCCCACTAGAGCCATCTGCCCATCTTTGAATCAATCTCCATGGCCAGGGTAATGTGATCGTGTCATTGGTCAGGCCAGCTTTTTGTGCACAGTGGACTACTTGTGTGAATCGCAGTGGAAAACACGGATTCTACAAGGAAGGAGGGGTGCTGGAAAGCAAAAAGGGCAGGTGTTCACTATAGAGGTTCAGATGACACAGCCTTTCCCAGATATGTTCCATCTCGGTGTTCTTTGCTTCCTTCTAACTTCATCTTGCTCCTCCTCACCTCCACCCCAGCTCCAGAGCGGAATTGGCAGGCTGATTCTGAAGGAGGAGATGAAGGCCCGGTCCAGCTCCTATGCAGACCCGTGGACCCCGCCCAGGAGCTCCACCAGCAGCCGGGAGGCCCTGCACACCGCTGGCTACGAGATGTCCCTCAATGGCTGTAAGTGCCGCCCCGGAGGCCCAACTCCTCCCCACTCCACCTATGAGTCTGACCTCCCAGACCCCTCCACTTGGTCTTGACAGAGCCTTGATCCCATAACTGATACGTGCTGGGTATTCATTTTGAGCGAGACATCCTGGGAAGCACAGCCCATCTCATCTCCTTCCTCATAGCAGCTCTGTGCAGTGGGTGCCATTACCACCCCTACATTTTACAGATGAGAAACTGAGGCATAGAAGGCTTTAATAACTTGCCCTACGTCACTCAGTTTATAAGCGATGGAGCTGAGATTGGGACCTAGGTCAGTCTGACTCTAGAACCCAAAGACAAGATTTGTGAGGACCTTCTAGTTGTGCAAGGCAGCATTCCTGATGCTGAGAATATGGGGGTGACCAGTTAGACAAGATTCTTGCCTTCATGGGGGCTGATAGTCTAGAGCAGAGGTTGGAAAATTATAACCCATGGGCTAGATCTCTTCCACCACCTGTTACGGTAAATAAAGTTTTATTAGAACACAGCCATGCCCATTCACGCATGTATTGCCTACGGTTGTTTTCACTACAACAGCAGAAAGTAGTTGCAACAGTAGTGAGTAGTTGCAGCAGAGACTGGATGACCTGCAAAGCCTAAAATATTTACTGTTTAGCTCATTACAGAAAAAGATTGCTGACCCCTGTTCTAGAGGGATGAGACAGACTATAAACATGTTTAGAAAAATAGATAAATAAAATAATTTTGGAACAGATGCCACCTCCTCTGGAAAGCCTTTTCCAATTCTCAGAAACTCCCATGCAGTGCACGTATTGCATTGTTCCTTGTGTTGCAAACTAAGCCAGTAAAAGCCAAAGTGCTACCCTGTAGGAACCACAAAGAGAGAAGGGAGCTGACCCCAAACTCAATCTCTTGGGCTAACAAAGGAATCAGGAGAGTATGCCCTCAAAGGTTAGCCTCAGACTCTCCCACTCTCCTCCATCTCTGGAAGGCTTGCCTGGGTCTAGAACACTGACGTGGGGTCTTAGCGAGGACCATGCTCTGCCCTGAGCCATCACTCCTGAGTCCTGGGTCTTTGGGGAATCTGAAGCCTTGACTTCCAGTCAGGTAGATGTACTGAGAAACATCTTTAAGAATCTGAGTGGCTCAACGATACAAGGGGCTGCCTTCTGAGGTAGTGAGCCTTCCATCACTGGAGGTGTACAGAGGCTTGATGACCACTCATTGGTTAGAAGGCGTTCAAGCATTTTGCCCTGGGAGTCTCTCGTTTTAAGCTCGTCCCTGTTCCTAGATACACACATGCTCTGTCTGCCTCCTCTCTTGCTTGTGGTTGTCGTGTGCCTTTGAGTCGATTCACTCTCCTTCTCATCCCTGTGGAATTCAGTCCTGCCAGGAAAGCCCATCTCAGATCAACACCTGAAAAAAAAGAAGTCATGAGTTTTTTGTTTGTTTAACAAAACTAATGCATGTTCGTTGTAAAAAAAAAATAGCAAGTTCAGATAATACACAGAAAAAAAGAAAGATAAGATAATAAAAATCTGTAATCCAGCACCCCAGTGACCAGTCACAGTTTGATTGATCTCCTCTGATCAATGCTCAGTACTTTAAGAACATCAGCCTAGAGGTCGTGGAGTTTCAGATAATCTGCCCAGGGCTGTTTTAGAAACACAGAAACCTGAGTGCTGGGAAGACCATTCCCAGGAAAACCACAGAGAGAAGGACAAGAAGACAGGAGCTTCCGGGTCCTATTCTGATGCTCAGCCTCACCCACTCTTGCAGTACAGTGGAGGTGACAGTGCTAAGAAGCCAAGTGACTTTCTTATTTGACCACTTGAAAATCCTTAAGCAAGGGAGATGGCAAGAGGTCGAGAGAGCAAACACAGGAAGGCCCTCTGAGAAGACGATGGTCTGTTAGATCAAGGAAGACAATTATGGGCAATAGAAGATTCTATTTCTTATACTCCAGTGTGCCAGACATCTACAGATATGGTATCACCCTTGGTCCTCACAAAGATCCACAATGTAGAGGGATTGTTTTCACCTACTTTATAGATGAAAGAACTGAGGTTAAGCCACTTGCCCAAGGTCAGGAAGCCAGTAAGTGACTACGCCAGGATCCAGACAAGTCAGAGTGACTCCAAGGCCATGAGCTTGTCCCTCTTCACCATACTGCATCTTGAGTCTTGGTGAAATTGAAGATGATGGTGGGGGTGTTGGTGATGATGATGATAGAGCCAGTATTATTGAGTGTTTTGTATGTGACAGACACTGTGCTACTATCTTACTATATTGTGTCACATTCTTCACAATAACCCTGTAAAGGAGATAATTTACAGATGAGGAAACTGGAGGCTGGTTAAGTAGCTTGTGTGAAGTTAAAAACAAACAAAAAATCGTTGCTGTGGAGTTGGTTCTGACTCATGGCAACCATGTATATTACAGAGTAGAACTCTCCATAGGGTTTAATATCACCAGGACTTTCTTCTGCTGAGCCACTGAGCGGGCTCAAACTAAAGGTTAGCCAAAACCAAAACAAACTCATTGCCATCGAGTCAATTCTGACTCATAGTGACCCTATCAGACAGAGTAAAGCTGCCCCATAGGGTTTCCAAGGCTGTAATCTTTACAGAAGCAGACTGCCACATCTTTCTACCACGGAGCCACTGATGGGTTTGAACCGCCAACCTTTCAGTTAGCAGCCAAGCACTTAACTACTACACCAGCAGCCGACTGCAAACTGCTTGTGCCACCCAGGGAAGTTAGGTATCTACTAAGTGACCGAGTGGATGAGCTGATGAGCCTGTTTCCCTGTTGGACCGTGAGGGGCACTGTTTTCAATTCTGGCTCTGAGATCTGAGTGGTGCCCCAGTTGCTGCTCAGAATTCAACCCCATTCAGTGGCATCCATGCAACAAATATCGAGGAGCACCCACTATGTGCCAGGTGCTGTGCTAGGTGGTGGGGTTTTGGATGCATCGTGGCAGATACTAATGCAACAATGGGAAACTGACCAGTGGGAAAAGAGGTCCTGAAGGAGCCCTCCCCCCACCCACCCAGGGTAGCCCAGTTACAGGAGCTGTCCGTTCTCCACCATGTCTGTCTGTCCCCATGAACACTGACTGATCCCTGGCTTTTCTCTGTTGCAGCCCCTCGGTCCCACTACCTGGCTGACAGCGGTATGTCCTCCTGCCCTACCTTCAGCCCCGTCATGTCCTGTGAGGGCCAGAACTGAGTCCTCTGAAATTCCCCTGTAGTTGTGATGGCAAGCAACATGGATGTCCCAGCACATCTTGATTTCAAATAGTCCATCCTATTGTTTTTGTTAGATTATGGGCCCCAATTTTAGTTATGAAACCAGGGTTACCATGCCCAATAACTCCAAGAGACAGAAAAAGAATGAGAGAGTGAGAGAGAAAGCAAGCCTCTTCCACCCATGTGGGAGCCTCCCTGCCTGGGTTCTGAACTACAGCCACTAGCTTGACTGCAATTCCAGGGCCATTGTCTAGAGCACTCTGAGGCTAGGACACAGGGGTCCATCATAGGAGGCTAGATGTGTGCAGGTTGAAGCCAGAAGAGAGTGAGTGGGTGCTTCAGTGGGCCTAGAGTTCTGCAGGGGTGGAGCACCCCATAGACAGTCAAGTTGCAAGTCTGGAAAGCAGGCAGGAATTGCTAGTGGTCTCTGGCCACACCCCTTGTCACTAGGTTGGGAGTAATATTGACCATTTTCAGTCAGATGACCTCAGGGTGAGGGACTCTTGGCTTGGAGCTCCTGGTGATTGCTCTGGCTCCTTCTTTTCAGATCCCCTCATCTCCAAATCAGCCTCCCTGCCTGCCTACAGAAGAAACGGGCTGCACAGGGTAAGAGAGGCCAGGCTGGGGAACACTGCCCCAAAATGCTAACAATTCCAGCATTAGCTCATTGTTCTGGTGATTATTTATGGGCGAAACCTTGGGGCTGGGGGTGGGTTAACTGAAAGAATGCAATGGCACTGATTTGCTCTACTCTCCTTTATCCCCTGTGTAAAAAGTGTCCCCAGGTGAGAGGCTACAGAACAGTTAATACTTACTGAGCAATGACTATGTGCTGGCCACTGTGCTAAGCACTTTACATGCATGAACTTATCTAACTTCCACAACCCTGGAAGGTGGTTACTATTTTTAACCCCGTTTTGTGGATGAAGAAATGGAGGCACAAAGAGGTGAGGTGAACTGCCCAACCTCTCACACCCAGTAAGTGGTAGAGTCAGGATTCCAACCCAGGCCAACTGACTCCACAGCCCACACTTGCCGCCATGCTCCATTTGCCTCTAACATCACTGTTGTCTTCTGGGCTCTTTGACCATCTATGATGTAATGCCTGCATGGGAGCAGGAAGTCGTTTTAAGGGCACAAGGAATTACAAACTTGTCTTGTTAATAGGAAGAGAGGCTATGTGACTGGACAAGTGATCCAAGGGAAGGGCAGGCACGTTGAGATAGATGCTTATTACTGAGTACCTACTAAGTGCCAAGCACTGTCCCTGGTGCTGGAGAGACTGCAGTGAATGAAGTCACTGCTCTCAGGGAGCTTACAGTTCGGGAGACAGACAATGAGCAAATGAGTGCAATATGATGTCAAGTCGTCCGAAGTGCTAGGATGGAAAACAAAGCAAGAGGACAGAGGGAGAAGGCAGTCAGAGAGGGCTGAATCTAAACAAACGCCTGGATGAAGGGAGGGACCTCCCCATAAGAGGAGCTGCAAGAGCTACCAGGTAGAGGGAAGTGCTGGGTTAAAGCCCCTGGAAGAGAGGGTGCAGTGGGCCTGAACCAGTGTGGCTGGCAAGGAGTGAGCAAGAGGAAGCTGGAAAGGGTCATCATTAGGGCCATGCACACTGAGTTAGGGCTTCAGAGGGCTTCCAGAAGGTGCATCGCATGATCCAACTAGGTGTTTGTTTGGTTCTTTTTTTTCTCTCTCTGTTTTTTTCCTATCTTTTTTACCTCTCGTTTTTTTCTCTTTTTTTTTTTTAATTGTTGTTGGAAATATACACAACAAAATATACAACAGCTCAACAATTTCTACATGTACAATTCAGTGACATTGCTTACATTCTTCAAGTTGTACAACCGTTCTCATCCTCGTTTTCCAAGTTGTTCCTCTCCCATTAACATGGACTCACTGCCCCTCAAGCTTCCTATCTGACCTTTCAAGCTGTTGTTGTCAATTTGATCCCAGATAGATAGTTCTTGAAGGACCACAATGCTCAAGGCAGGCAGTCTTTTTTAGTTAAGCTAAACTATCGTTTGGTTTTAAGAAGACCTCATTGGATATTTTTGGTTTAAGGTTTAAAGCTTATTTTAGGGCAATAGTTTCAGGGGTTCATCCAGCCTCCATGGCTCCAGAAATTGACTCAGGGTTTTCATGGGATCCCTACAGCTGCTGTGTGGAGAAGAGACCACAGAGGGGCAGGAGTGGAAACGGGACCCCTGTTAGGAGGTTATTTTAGGGTAAAACACATAAAAAAGGTTTCAGAGCTCCCTGGAGAGCAATGGCTGGTGCTAATAAACCATTCTCTGAAGAGGAGCACATGGACCCTGTCCTTACCATGCTCAGAGTTCAGACATTCACTCACTCAACAGGTGTTCACTGAACGTTTATTATGTAAGCCAGGCAGTGTTCTTTTTTTTTTTTTTTTTTTTGCTTTGCATAATGTTTGTTGAAGGAATCCAAGAGAAAATAGAAACAAGTGATATGTTAGGGTGTAAGGATTGTCGATGAACTTTCATGTTCATTGCCATTATAATTATGACTATTATAGGACTGTGCAATGCGTAACTAATAAATAAAATTGTATTCTTTTTTAATTATGCTTTAGGTGAAAGTTTACAGCTCAAGTTAATTTCTCATACAAAAATTCACACACACATCGTTATGTGACAGTAGTTGCAATTCCTATAATGTGACAGCACACTCCCCCCCTCCATCCTGGGTTTCCCGCGTCCATCCAATAAGCTCCTGTCCCTTCCTGCCTTCTCATCCTGCCTCCAGACAGGAGCCGCCCACTTGGTCTCATGTATCTGCTTGAACTAAGAAGTACACGCCTCAGGAGTATTATTTTATGTTTTATAGTCCAGTCTAATCTTTGAAGAGTGGGCTTCAGGAATGGTTTTAGTTCTGGGTTAACAAAGCTTCCAGGGCCCGGTAGTATTCTGGGTGCTTGTAATGCATCAGGGACCAAAACAGGCAAAGACTCCTGCCCCATGGAGCTTATATTCTGGTAAGAGAAAACAGAGAGTAGGTAGTAAATAATAAGTAAGTCAAATTATATAAAGCACTAAAAGGTAATAAGTGCTATAGAAAAAAAATTGAGGGATTGGGACATCAGGGAAGGGGCGAATTGCACTTTTAAAGAGAGTTAGCAGAGCGGATCTTGTAGAAAAAGCAGCATTTGAGCAATGAAAGAAAGCATGCGATGAAATTCATCAAATAAATGAATATGTATTGAGGACTTACAATGTGCCGCGTACTCTGCTAGACACTAGGGATATGGCAGTGAGTTAAATCACCCCAACCTGAGACTAAGGCTTCTGAGAGGGCCCCAGGTCCCACCAGCCCAGCTCTGTTTTCTGGAGATGGCGAGAATGTCAGGGAGCAGAAGTGAGCTTATCTCAAGCCATCTGGTTTCTGTCTCCCGGCAGACACCCAGTGCAGACCTCTTCCACTATGACAGCATGAACGCCGTCAACTGGGGCATGCGAGGTAAGCGTAGCCCTGCGGGCCTGCCAGGCGAGACTTCAGAATTCCCCTCTTATCACTGTTGCTGGCTTCCACCAACGATGGCTGCAGATTCTGTCCAAACCCCAAGTTTCCACTCTCTTTCACATCCCATTCCCTCCCTTCCCCCTCCACTCCTTTCATCCTCTCAAATCAGGCCTTGGGTGATTGATCCCCAGGCCGTCTGTCCCATATGGGTTCTCAGAGCCATCAGCAAGCCATTCTCCCCTGTACTGCTCAACTAGAGTTGTCTGCCAGCCCTGGGGGAGAGAAACGCACCAAATGCACACTGTTCCCAATAAAGATTCCATGAGTTTCCTGCTTTCTGCCCGTGATGCCCCCATGCAAGTCTCTACCAGCTCCTATAAGCAGGCAGGAGAAAGACCAGCACCAAAGCCCCAGGTAGATTCCTCCAGAAGATGGAAGATCCCACCCATGGACTTCACTGTCGCAGATTCTTCCCAGTTCTATTGTAAATTCTCAAAAGTCATTTTTTTCCTAAGACCCATATTTCCAGATCAGCCCGACCCCTAACTCCAGCCGTCTGTTGTGCTTACACCAGCCTTGATTATCCTCCAGGTGAATTCAGCAAGGGCAGGGGCTCTGGCTGGTCATGTGAGAGGAGAGGGTGGAGACAGAGGCCAGTGGAGGGATGCAAAGCAAAGACCGACGGGTTTCCATGTGTCTGTCTTTCTCTTTTCTCTCTACAGAGTACAAGGTAAAGGCTATAAGTAGACCCTGGAGGTCTCCAGGACCCTGGCAGTGCTACACTGGGGACCAGCAGAAGGGTGACAGCAGGGAAGAGAACATGGATAAATAACCCCAAGGGTCCTTTCAAGACTCACATTTCCCTTCCCTCCTTGGCCCAGAATTCTGCCCTGGGTCTCTTGACTCCTGAAATCAGGTGGATCCCCCAGGCCTCAAGGACTCTCTCAAGGCTTACCAACTACCAAATATTGACATGTACTTTCTGGAGGCCTTCTGCCCACATTACTGCCAAATATCACTGAGCTTAGAAGTATTCGGGGACCTCTGGGGCCTTGCCTTTTGGAAGAAGGTGCCTGGGGGCTGGTTGGCCACCCCAAGGATGGCTGACCCAGCCATTCCTCCAGATTTGAATCTCTGGCCTCCTCTGAATAGAGGAGGGAGCCCAGACACAAAGCATGGCGGAAAGGGACAAGCCCACCACCCTCACCCAAGCTAGAAACACCCCCTCCTTCCTCCTTAGATCTACCCTTATGAGCTGCTGCTGGTGACCACGAGAGGAAGAAACCGACTGCCCAAGGATGTGGACCGGACGCGTTTGGAGGTGAGTGGAGAAAACCAGGTGGGAGGTTTTGAGTTTGAAGGGATTCCAGAGGTTCCCTGGTCTAACCTAATGAGAAGATAAATGGTTTTAAGGTCACACAGCCTGTTGACAAAGCCAAGATGTAGACCTAGGTTTTTACTCTGCCCAAGACTGTTCATGCTATTCTATGCTGCCTCCTTTTCCATTCAGTTAGCATCGGTGGTGCACAGCAACAGGTGTCCCCACCTGCGCTGATGCTTCTGCAGACATGGGAAGAGAGCTAGATTTGGCCCCTGCCCTCAAGGGGCTTGCAGTCTGGTTGATAAGAAGAAATGCACTGGTTTTATGTAGCATTATACAGAACACTGGTGCTTGTAATAGGACAGGCTGAGGGAGGCAGCAGTGTGTAAAAGGTAAAAGCCTACATCTCGAGTCAGATTCCCTAGGTTTAAACTCTGATTCTGCCATCGCTAGGCAGGCAGCTTTGGTTAAGCAACCACCTCCCTAAACCTTACTCTTTGCCTCTGTAGAGTGGGGGCAATTGTAGCATCTCCCTCATAGGGTTGCTGAGAGAATTAAATGAGACTGTGCACCTAAAGCCTTTCTCACTGACTGGCACATATTAAGTACTCAATAAATGTTAGACTGTTATATTCAGAAAGGACCAGAAAGGTCTGGATTGGTTGACATAGGCTTTTGGAAGAGGAAGTATTGGCTGGACCTTGAAGGTGAGCAGGGTTGTATGGATGGACAGAGGGAGGAGAGCCTCATGGGCAGTGGGAACAGCATAAAGGCCCAGGACCTGAGCATGGTGCCGCGGTGTTCAGGCAGCTCAGTCCACTTGGTGTGGATCCCAGTCCCTGGTCACCTCTGGCCCATGAACACACTCTGCCCTTTACACCGTGGTGCCTCTCCCTCTCTCTAGAACACCCTTCCCATCTCGCCAGTCTCCTACCCCTCAGGGATCCACTTGAGTGATCCTTGTGGCCCAAAGCCTCCCCCAGCTCTTCCCCATGATGGGTCTCTCCCCTCTTCTTCCAGCCTTCCTCAGCCCTGTGTCCAGAGTGAAGATCAAGTACCTCTCACTCCCTTTGTGCCAAGTCAACAACTTATCCATTTCCTCCACAGACCCTGAGCTTCTTAGGGGCAAAGATTGTCTGTCATCTACCACAGGGTCCAGGCTGGGAGAGGTGTCAGGAAATGTCTGTGGAACTGAATGCAGGCCACTTAATGAAGAGGCCCAGCACCACCTGGGAAAGGCATAGGAGCCACCTCTGACCTGACAGCTGAGGGTAGAGGATTGGGAACAAGGAGTCCCCAGGTAGTGCAAACAGTTAACATGCTCGGCTGCTAAACTGGAAGGTTGGAGGTTCGAGTCCACCCACAGGCACCTCAGAAGAAAGACCTAGCCTGGTGATCTACTTCCAAAAAATCAACCATTGAAAACCCTATAGAGCACAGTTCTACTCTGACACATTTGGGATTGTCAGGAGTCAGATCAACTCAACGGCAACTGATTTATAGGGCTGGGACAGAAGGTGAGGAATGTAAGGGGTCAGGAAACTCTGTGAGTCCTTCCAGCCCTAGCATACTGGGTTAGCAGCTCAAGAAAGTGATTCTTCCCACGTTTACAGCAAGGGCCTCCTCGCAGTGAGTGTCTGCGGTGCTGAAGGGACAGCTCCTACAGCCGTCATAGAACCATCGTTAAGAGTTGGAGATGTCTGGGGACTCGACTGGTCCTCCCTGCTCTCTCACATCCTATAGGCCACCCAGAAACTCGGGCCCAGGTAGCTCAGCCTTCCCTGAGTATCATAATCACCCAGGGAGCTTTTTTAAGATACCAGTACAGGGCACATCCCAGGCCAATTAAACCACAATCTGGGGGAGAGGCCCAGGCATCCAAATTTTTTTAAGGTCCCCAGGTGATCCTAACGTGTGGCCAGAGCTGAGACCACTGGGCTAGAGGCACTGCCCCAGCTCCCTGCACCAGATGAGGGAGGGGACTGAGGGAGGGAGACCCCGAATCTGTCCTCTGGAAGCTCAGCGTAGACATTCATTCATCCAACAAATATTGATTGAGAACCTATTATATATGTCACATACTGTTACAGGTGCTTAGGATATGTCAGAACAAAACAGGCAAAGACCCCTGCCCTCTTGCAGCTTGCATTCTTTCATGAGGAGACCAGCATTAACCAGCACAAATAATAAATAAATGATATAGTGTGTTAGAGCGAAGGGAATTGGGAGTTAGGTGGAGGGATGAGTTGCAGTTTTTTTTTGTTTTTATTTTATTGTGTTTTAGGTGAAAGTTTACAGTGCAAATTATTTTCTCATTCAAAAATTTACATACAAATTGTTTTCTGACATTGGTGCAGTCCCTGCAATGTGTCAACATGAGTTGCAGTTTTAATTAGGGTGGTCAGAGTAGGTTTTATTGCAAACGTGACATGTGAGCAAAGACTTGAAGTAGGTGAGGGAGTTAGCCATTCTTATATAAAGAGGAGGAGTCCCTGGGTGGTGCAAAGAGTTAACATGCTCAGCTGCTAAATGAAAGGTTGGAGATTCAAGTCCACCTAGAGGCACCTCAGAAGAAAGGCCTGGCAACCTACTTCTGAAAAATCAGCCATTAAAAACTCTATGAAGCTCAGTTATATTCTGACGTACACGGGGGTCTCCATGAGGCAGAATCAACTCAGCGGCAACTGGTTTGGTTTTTATATAATCAAAGAAGAGCATTTGAGGCAGAGCGAACAGTCAGTTCCAAGGCCCTCACACAGGAGCAAGGCTGGTGTGTTTGAGGACAGCAGGAGGCAGGGTGGCCGGGTCGCGTGAGTGCAGGGGAGAATGGAAGAGCTGAGGTCAGAGGAAACAGGGACCAGATCACGCAGGGCCCGCAGGCTGCTGCCATGACTCTGGCTTTGGCTTGAGTGAAATGAGGAACCGTAGCAAGTTCTGAGCAGAGGGGTGACATGATTGGAGGGGTATGTGACAGACACACGAAAAGACAATGCAGTAGTGATAGTGACCAGTGACTGAGTGCCCACTGCATGCTGGCCACCAGGCTGAGCAACCGGCCTGTGTCATCTCATTCACCTTCGCAGTATCCGTGAGGCAGGTACCGGAATACTCCAGTTTTCCAGGAGAAGAAATTACCATTCAGGGAGATTCAGTAACTTGGCCCAGGTCACACACCCAGGTGCTTGTGCTCTTAATCTTTATGCCATGATATCTGTGTGGATGTAAAATGGACAGGCTGGCATTAGGTGTCTAAGAAGTTAGAGCAGAAAGGAGGCTCAAGCTGGCCCGTAAAGGAGAGAGAGAAGTCAGCCTCCTTTCAACATGTCCTATTGTGGTCACCTTACTTGAGTCTGAGTCTGTTGTTGTTTCGATTCTGAGTCATGGTGACCCTATAGGACAGAGTAAAGCTGCCCCACAGGGTTTCCTAGGCTGTAATCTTTACAGGAGCAAATCACCAGGTCTTTTCTCCCACAGAGCAGCTAGTGGGTTTGAACCACTGACCTTTCAGTTAGCAGCCAAGTGCTTCACCATTGCACCACCAGGGCTCCTTAGGCTTCGTCTGCAGCTCCCTTAAATCAACAAACAAACAAATCCGTTACTGTGGAGTCGATTTCAACTCATAGTGACCCTATAGGACCGCGTAGAACTACCCCATAGGGATTCCAAGGAGTGGCTTGGATTCGAACTGCCGACCTTTTAGTTAGCAGCCATAGATTATCCACTGCTCCACCAGGGCTCCCCCTTATATCAAGCCTCATAAAAAAGGTTTATGAGCACATTAGAGAAAACCAGCTAGAGAATCAATGGTAACCTCCAGTAGCACCACCACCTCCCCCAAAAAGATCAAATGAGACTCTATTGAGACTCCATTACAGTTTCCCTCAGTATTTGCTATGGAAGGGACAGAGGAGAACTCCTTCATAGCCAAAGTATTTTTTCAGCACTCACATGAGTGAAAGTAAAACAAATATGGACAAGTCGATAGCAGGAAAGAAGAGGAGGGGCACTGTCTGGACTGGCGGAAACCTGGAGGGTCTAACAACCCAATTTGTGGATGCTTTTTGAATCCTTATTCAAACAAACCTACAGTAAAAAGGCATTTTTGAGACAATTAGGGGAATTTTGTTGTAGATAGGTATTAAATTAAGCGACTCTGGGGAATTATTTTCCATTTCTCTTAGGTGTGCTCATGGAATTGTGTGTGAAAATATCCAGTATTTTTGAGATGCATTTGTAAGTCGGAATGAATTGACACAGGGTCAGGGGTTGTTGTTAAGTGTCGTCGAGTCTATTTGGACTCGTAGCAACCCCATGTGACACAGTAGAACATCCCATAGGGTTTTCTTGGCTGTGATCTTTATGGGAGCAGATCACAATGTCTTCCTCCCACAGAGCTGCTGGCTGGGTTCGAACCCATCAACATTTCTGTTAGCAGCCAAGCACTTAACCGTTGCGCCACCAGAGCTCCTATGACAGAGTGTCTAGGGTTTGCTTTAAAATACTTCAGCAAAGAAAACAAGAAAGGAAATACATAGTTGAAGCAAATCTTGGTAAAATTATCAAGGCAAAGTCTTGATAATTATTGAATCTGGGTAATGGACCTAATTGTGCATTGTACTATTTTTTCTAGCTTTGTATATTTTTGAAATTTTCCATAATAGAAAGACTTGGTTATAATTTTTTTTAATGGGACAGGCCATGGGGGCAGAGAGAGCCCCTGTATTTGAAATCAGAGGCCTGGGCTTTGCTCTCAGCTCTCCTACTTACCTGTGTTCCTTCCCACCCTCCTTCTCTTTTTTTCTCTCAGGCAAGTAAGTCATTTTAATTCTCTGAGTTTTGGTTTTCTCATCTTAAAACTGGATTAAAAATAATTCCTAGTTTTTAGAGTAGTAGAGAGGAATTAACTGAGAAGAAAGAGGATGGAAATGCAGTTATAAACTATTGAGCCTAATAGAAATGCAGCAAAGAATTGTTTGTGTTATTCAGTACTGGTAAGTATTGAAAGGAGTCCCTGGGTGGTGCAAACAGCTAACGTGCTCAGCTGCTACCCAAAAGGTTAGAGGTTCAAGTCCACCCAGAGGTACCTCAGAAGAAAGGCCTGGTGATCTACTTCCAAAAAATCAGCCATTGAACACCCTGTGGAGCACAGTTCTACTCTGACACACATGGGGTCACCATGAGTCAAAGTCGACTCAAAGGAAACTCGTTTTAATTTTTGAAAATTTGACTCAAAGCCACCAGAAGGCAACTATATCTATCATCAAAAGTATCAACATTACCTTTGCTTGATGTTGTGGAAATGTGGCCAAAATGTTAGTTCACGGTGACAGTAGGCAGAGAACTGGCTAATTATTGTGTGGCTGTGTACATAATCCTCATTGCATCTCCTTCTAGTTTGCTAATATAATTGCTACCGACAGGTCAGTACAGGAACCCAGTAAGCTTGTGGGCAGGATATATGCTATATATTTCTCTTTTTAGAATTAATTTTAACTTTTTATTTTGAAAAATTTCAAACCTCCAGAAAAGTTGCAAGGATAGTACAATGAACACCTATCTACCTTCACCTCAATGCACCAATTCGTACCATTTTGCTACATCTTAAGTGCCACACATTTCTAACTCTAAAAGTTTTGACAATGTATCACACTTTCCAGGCTGCTTGAAAAGGAGGGAAGGAGACGAGGAGGGAGGGATGGAGGGAATAAAGGGAGAAGAAACCTGCCATGGAACGCGGAATATCGTTTAATCAGTGCTGAACAACGATTGATCCTGCATGTACTGGTTTTCATATAAGAAAGAGACGAAAGGACATTTCAGTGGGTAGAGAACTATGAACAGTAATTTTTCATGGCCTGGCCTGAGGAATAGCCTTCCAAGCCATTTGTAAAAATATTAATAAGAGGAAATGCACCCTAAAATCTTGAAAATGCCTCCTTTTCCTCCAAAAAGGGAGTGGGATAGCATTCATCCATACTCTTTTGGACTCAAATGCATGGAGCAGGGATGCAGAAAGGGGAGGTGGGCCAGAAGCTTAGGCAAAGCATAAGTCCCACCAGAGTCCAGGGCAGGAGAGGCCCCAAAATGGAAGCCACAGAGAGTGAGGCCTCTCCAGCCAGACCAGCTACAGAGGCCACTCCGGGGAGACACTCATTCTCCCAATCATTCGTTCTGCAGATATTTCTCGCAGGCCTTACCCAGGCCCAGGGGCCCAGTGGGAGCACAGAGTGACCACACCAGCCTCCACCACCCGTAGCCCCACCTCCCATCTCATGCTCTTTTCCCTGTGTCCCCTCCAACCTCCTTTCAGCGCCACCTGTCCCAGGAAGAGTTCTACCAAGTCTTTGGCATGACCATCTCCGAGTTTGACCGGCTGGCCCTCTGGAAGAGGAATGAACTGAAGAAGCAAGCCCGGCTGTTCTAGGCGGAGGCTCTTTAAATATATATGCATTTATATAAAAATCTATGTAAAATCTCTATACTGAAGCTCGGTATAATCCTCTCTCGGGTAATGGGACCCACTGTCTGCCGTGAGACTTGCTTGTCTGTACTGCCAGGCAAGCCCACGTCATCGAGATATTTTTATGCTCCTTACCTTCTCTTTTCTAAGTGCTGTGGGGTTTGGGAAGGGATTTGAAGGGACTCCCACCCTTTTACTGGGGACCCTTTTTATACTGAAACATCTGTCCTAACTCAAGTCCCCTCGAGACCCAACTCTCTTTCCTAAAGGAGGTGCCTGAAGAAGTCTCTCTTCTCTCTGCTTCTCGGCCCTTTTCCCAGGTTTCCAGGGCTGATGCTGACCACACAGTTTTCACACCTTATTGGCCCCAGAGGGGCTCTCCCCGTTGGAGAAGCTGCATCTCCCAAAGTCATAGAGAGCCTTTGAGAGCCAGGGAGAATTTTTTCATCACCCCCAATTAGGAGTTCGGTGCTCTCTGGGGGTGATGCAGTCACAGAGTTACAAGCGTGGGCCTCAAATCGTTACACCAGTAAACAGAAGTGAATAGGGCCTTGGCCTCTCCTCGGCTTGTTAACTCTCCTCTTCCTGCACTTTATCCTTACCTCTTGCTTGTCCAAATCTAGAACTCATGGTAGGAAAAGAAAAAAGGCACTTGCATTCCTTCCACCACTTCTGCATGGCCCCGTAGTCTGGCCTCTTTGCCTGGCCCCAACTTGGAGAACAGGAGGGAAGGGTGGGAGATAAAGCAGGGCACTTGTTGGAATTGGAGCTGCAGAACCACTTGGACCCTCCTGTCTCCCTCACTTCTCCCAGCATCTCCTGACCCTTCCCCCTTTCAAGGAGAGGCCCATTCCTGCAGCCTGTATTCTTCAGCCTTACTACAATCTATGTGCCTGACAACTCAACACACCACGGGGCTAAGTTCCCACTATAGCCCCAACCTAACAACTAGAAGGACAACCTCTGACCACCCCTCTAGAAGTGATACAGGTCACCTCTGAAAGAAAGGCTATAGGTCTATGCCAGCTGGTCCCTGGGCAGGCAGGGCAACCATACCAGTCCCCTGCCATCCCTCAGCCCCCTCTGCAAAGATGGCCATGTTTTATGAGGGAAACTTTTGGAAGAGTGGCTGCTTATGAGATTCCAAAATGAAGGGTTGGTCAACACTGCTCATGACCATCCTGGATTTCCCTGGTGGTTGCCCTTCCTGCCTCCTTGCCTTCTGGAACAGGAGTGAAAAGCTCAACCTTCTCTCCTGCCCTCCCCAAACCTTTGACCCTGAGTTGGTGATGTTTGGTGGGTGCTGTTACTCCATGGAGTCACCTTGAGTCGGACCATTTTGAGGTCATGGAGGAAGGATGAAGAAGTGGAAGTGACAAATAATGAGTTTCAAGAGGCTGGCCGTGCAATGCAACAAATGTAGAATTGAGTTCAACAAACCTTCACTGAGCACTTGCTGATGCTGAGCACCTACTCTATACCGAGCACTGAATGGGGGAGGGGGTACAAACACTGAGATGAATCAACATGGTCCTATTAATAGTGGGTACAGTAAGACATGTACCCAATCCCAATGGCTGTAAAGCAGAAAGTGATAGAAGGCACGAGAAAGTGTAGCATTGCTGAAAAGGCCTATGCAGCTGTTGCAGGCCAGGGAAAGCTTTCTGGAAGAGATTGCATTTGAGCAAAATTCAAGAAGGATCTTCGGTAAACTGGGAAGAGACTGAAAGTTAAAAGGGTGATGGGATGAAGGGCCGGAAGGGAGGTCTCATATACTTGCACTTAAAATGTCAACCCTCCCTGCAACTTCTCTTTTTGGCCAATGTCTTTCAACTTTCCTGACCCTTGAGAAATGTCCCCAGCCAGACACAATCATCGAAACTGCCTCATTATCACTGGGTGAGAACTTGGCAAGATTGAAGGGCTTTTGTTGTTGTTGGATATTTTTGTTTCCCATAAAAGCACATAATTTCAACCTAGACCCGTGTCCTTCTGTTGTGTTCTAGTGTGAGTGGAAATGAGTGAAGTGGGAAAAGGCTGAACCATGCACATTTTTTCAAAATAAAAGAGCCTAGAGGGTGGCCTCTCCCTTGCTCTCAGTTTCTCCTTCGGTAAAATGAGAAAGTTTGAGGAAGTAAGCATAACCCAGATTATTTCCTGCAGAACGCACTGTCCTGCAATATGTTAGGAGATGTTTCAACCAAAAAAAAAAAATTATGTGATCAAATAATAATAATAATTCCTCATTAGTAAGCACCAACTATGTGCCAAGTTCTGTGCTGAGGACTTCACACCTATCATCTCATTAGAGCCTCTGTAACAACCCTACAAAAAAACCAAAACCAAACCCGTTGCCGTTGAGTCAATTCCAACTCATAGCAACCCCCTAACAAGCCTACGGGCAGCCATTCTTATTATCTCCATTTCATAAGTGAGGAAACAGCTTTGAAAAGGACCCAGTTACCACTGATGGAGCTGAGAGTCCATTCCAGCCTGTCTCACTGGAGAGACCAGCTCATCTGCTCTTATCAGGATGAAAGTCAGGATGCTTTCAGCTGCACGTAAAGAACACCCCATTTAAAGTGACTTAAACAATGAGGACACACATTGTCTCGCATAACGGAAAAGTCCAGGGTGCCAGACTTAGTGAAGCCATTGAGAGCCCAGGTTCTTTGCATCCTTTCACCCCACCATCCTCAGCTTGTTGGCTTTCTCCTCAGGCATAGCCCCTCATGTTTACAAGAGGCCGCTCTGGCTTCAGGCATCACGTCCTCACACGACCACATCAAAACACAGGAAAGGAATTTCCCTTTGTGTGTCTCTTTCAAACAGAAAAACTTTCCCAGAAGTTGTCAGTAGACTGCCCCTTAGATCCTGCTGGCCAGAACCAGGGAATAGGCCCATGACTTTGGTGCAAAGAAGGCTGGGAAACTGAGTATTTGGCATTTTCAGTCTTGATAGCGGGAAGCGAGCACCCTGCTAGCAAAGAAGAGGAGAGACAGGACAGATAAGAAATGGCCGCCAGGTAGGTGAATCATAGTGTCTATGTCTCAGCCATGTGGATAAAAGAACACGTTAGTGGTAATGATTGCACAACACCATGACCGTAATCATCATCACTGAATTATACATGTAAAAATTATTGCATTGGCAAATGTTTTGTTATATACACTTCTACCACAATTAAAAAAGAAAACCATAAAAAAGAACACATTACGTCGCTGCCTGCAAAGACCCATAATGCGCTTTACCAAACGTTCTGAGAAGTCCTAAAATGCCTTAGTTTAAGCCAATATTTCATAAACTAATTTGACCTAAACTCTCTTTAAAAAATGTTAAACTTACTGCATTTCATCTATTCTAAGATGCACACTTTTTTCACATTTTAGCATCTCTGAAAATGAGATGTGGCTTAAAATTAAAAGCAGTTCCTTTCCTGACCTCTCATTCTATAATCTTCAATAATAACCAATTCTAACTATCATCCCCATCACAGCTCCTCTGGACAGATGGCTCAAATATGCAAAAGGATACTCAAGACGTTCCTTTGTTCCCTGCATATATACACACTCATCCAACAAATATTTATTTATTGAGCATCTTCTGCCAGGTAGGAGCACTGAGGATACAACAGTGTGTAAGACAGGTGTGAGCTCTCCTTATGGAACGCAAGTCTAGAGGAGAAAACAGATTATAAATCAGGAAACAGAAAAAGAGCAGGCACAAGCAGATAGCGGCTACAAACGCACAAGTAGGAACTTACTTCATATACTTACTAAATGATGAGAACCAAGTACCCAAGGGACACGTGGGAGTAGGAGCATTCTAGGCACAGGGAACAGTGTATGCAAAGGCACTGGGGTGGGCAAGAGCTTGGAGTAACTGAGGAACTAAAAACGCCAGTGAGTGAGTTTCTGTTCGGCATGAGGTAAAACTTTTGGAAATGGATAGCAGTGATGGTAGCACAATATGGTGAAAGTAATTAGTGCCACTGAATTGTACACTTAAAAATGGCTGACATGGCAACCTTTTATTACATATATTTTACCACAATAAAATTATTTTTTTTATAAAAATGCCAGTGAGGATGGAGCGACGTGAGTGAGGGGGAGTGTGAGATTAGAAGAGAAGAAGGCAGGAAGGAGCCAGAACTCGCAGAGGGCCAGGACGCCTCTCATTCATTCAGGCGTCGTGGAGGTTATCTGACGTGCACTGTGGTTGTTAACCTCCTGGATGCTGGAGAATTGCTCTAAGCCTTGCTACTCAAAGTGTGGTTCCCAACCAGCAGCACTGGCATCACCTGGGAGCTTGTTAGAAATGCAGAATCTCAGGTCCCAACCCAGACCTACCAATCCGTATCTGTATTTTAATAAGATCCCTGGTGATTCGTACGCATAGTAAAATCTGAGAAGCACTGCTCTTACCATCTTCCTTGTTATGGGCAGACGCAACAATATTTTGTGTCAGACTTTCTGAATTTCCAGAAGGAGGCTTTTTTCTTACGCACATGTGTAGCCCCTCAGTAACCCTCTCTACGAACTGGATGGCAACCTAATATTAGTAAAGCAGAACACAAGCCCTTAGGAGCACAGAAATCACAGGAGGTTAGAGCTTAAAGCCAATACAATGGCCACCTTCTGCAGCCACGGAAGCAGGCCTACTGAGTGTTGGAGCAGATCAGGACACAAAGCCAGCTCTCCCACACCTCGGGCCTCTCATCCTCCCCACTCACCCAGCACAGAAACATAGGGACTGTCTGTGGAGGGTGTCAGCAGCTGCAGCTGGCCACTGACCAGGGCCAAACGTGGAGCAGAGGGGCTTTTACTCAGCACGGTCAGCAAAATCCGAGGAGAAAAAAAAGCATTGCTAAAATTAAGAGCAATTAACACCTCAGATGGACCAGGCAGTGTTTCCTTCTGTTGTACACGGGGTCACTATGAGTCAGAACCAACTTGATGGCATGTGACACCGCCACCACCACCTCAGAATTATGCCAATTCCCTAAAGTCCCACAAGGAATTAAGTGTTAAAGGTGTCATTCTACATCAGACCTCGAGCTGCTAAAAATCTTGACCACACAGTGATAAGCACCTGCTTGCATACACAGCCCTGAGCTGCCAGGCCATTCAGCAGCCGTGGAGGGAGACTCAGAATAATAAAATCCAGAGGCTGTGAAGATGAGGATTAGGCTCTCACCACCCAAGAGCCCACTTGCCTGTTTCCTCAGCTTCTCAGTCTTTACCTGGCCTGGCTGATATGATTGGCACAAGGACATAGACAGGAGAAACCAAAGCCCTTCAGTCATCGTCCAGAGTTAGTCCACAAGGCAAATTAGGGCAGAGGTTCAAGTCCACCCAAAGGTGCCTTGGAAGAAAGTCCTAGTGATCCACTTTTGAAAAAATCAGCCATTGAAAACCTTATGGAGCACAGTTCTACTCTGACACACATGGGGTCAGCATGAGTCAGAACTGACCCTATGGTAACTGGTGGTGGTGTGCAGATAAATCAAGTCAAAAAATAACGACCAAAAGTACTCTTTTTTTATGGGGAAAGTTAGCCCTACTCCAGTGTGTCCCAACTTCAGTTACTCAAACACCACCTTCACAACATTTGTCAAATTATTTACTCAACACTATTCACATAGTATTTTTCTTTCAATTAATTCATACCTGACCTTTGTATATATTTGAAGCAATATCAGTGAAATTATGGGTTTGTAGGACTAGTTAAGGAGCCCTGGTGGGGCCATGGTTAAGCACCTGGCTGCTAGCCTACAGGTCAGTACTTGGAACCTACCAGCCACTCTGCAGAAGAAAAGACCTGGTGATCTGCTTCTGTAAAGAGTACAGCGTAGGAAACCTTAAGGGGCTGTTTAACTCTGTCCTATAGGGTCGCTATGAGTCAGAATAGACTCGACAGCACACAACAACAGGATTGGTTATATGCTTTTTAATATAAAGTAAAATAAGTTCGTGAGTCTTCAAATATGCTGGTCTGTGTATCATCTAAACTCACCTCACATTTTCACCAAAAGTCCAAATTCAACACTTTGAGAAACACTTCTATTTGATGGAATTGAGAGGCGAGTTGTATCCCCTCACTTTCCTCATGACTGACTGGTCTTTGGGGACCAAAGAGAAAACAATTTAAAGATGTTGCAGAGATAAGAAGACAAAACACTTTGACAATCAAGCAGGGCTGGCCCTTAACCACAGCCCACTACAGACAGCCAAGGCTCCCATATGTCACCAGTTGGTTCCCCGGGACATCTTGCAGACAGGATGTCCCAGACCTTGCTAAGGTTTTCATTGGACAGAGTCCCTTACTTCCTCTGCTGCTGCCTTTGTGTTTACTGCTGTGAGCTACAGCAGGGACATTATAGCATCATAGCTAAAGGCAGACTATTAGACTCAGCCTCCCAGACGGCAAATCTCAACTTCTCCATTTACTAGCCACATGAAATTAGACTTGAAAAATGGGAATAACAGCGCCTATTTTATAGGGTGGTCAGGACTGAATGATGTATGTCAGGTACCGTACCTGGCTGCAGGGGAGGTACGTTTTCACCTGCTCAGCATCTCTCGCAGACTTAGCTCAAGTGCTTTACCAAGCTATCAATGCCCCCTGGTGGCCATAACGGGAACTACAGGGAAGGACGCACCTTTTTCACCTGGCATCTCCCACTGTAAGAACTTGCAGGCCTGAGCTACGTGGCATGCTTTGGCACCTCATGGAAGAGACCACCTGAAGATGAAGACTAAATGGAGGAAGATGGAGCTTGGAAACGGAGAGAAGAAAGTAACGAGTGCCCTGTTTGCACTCTTGGATTCGGGCTTGCTTTAAAGTCTAGTTCACGCCTTCAACTTCCCAGGTACCATCTGAGCCAATAAATTGCCTTTTTTGGTTTTAAGTTAGTTTGAGTTATGATTCCATCACTTACCACCAAAGGAGTTGTAACAAATACACTATTCCAGAGT